CCCCCCCCCCCACAATGTCCCTCCAGTTACACTTCATGAATTTTAATGTTAACTTGGTGGAGGTGTGGGGGCACTGAATAATCCGATCGGCTGATGCATGCTATGGTGAGGTGGAGCTTTGTGTGTGTGTGTTAAAGGGAGGTGTGACCTTTTCAATAAGGGTGTTAACACTTGCAGGAGTAGGAGGATCTCTGAGGGTAGCTCTGAAAGTTTTCAGATGAAGGATCCCAATAGTTTTGAATGATTACCCTTATAAAATCTGTTGTATTGTGTTTTAGCTCAAAAGAGTCCCCCCCCCCCCCCCACACACACTAAAAAAGAAAGTCCGCAATGACATCATTTGCCAGGAACCGGTATCAAAGTGAAAACATGACGCCTTTACGAAATCAAGATTAACAAATGACCAAATGACCAAATGACAATATGTTACAATTTTGCGAACATATTTACTCTGTGATATAATAGTTGCTTTATTTTTCATATTATTATGTCTTCAGTTATTAAGACTGATTTTTTAAAATGTTTCACTGCACGAGGATCCTAATGGAATAAACAAAGGTTAAGTCTAAACCAATCCATTTGTCTCGTGTTCAGATTGTCAATGTTTGTCTCGTGTACAGATTGTCAATGTTTGTCTCGTGTACAGATTGTCAATGTTTGTCTCGTGTACAGATTGTCAATGTTTGTCTCGTGTACAGATTGTCAATGTTTGTTGCGTGTAAGTAAATACGTGTGCCAATTTGCTTTTTATGTAAGTACATAAGTGTGTCAAATGTGTTGTCAGTAAATACATGTGGCAATGTGTTTTGTTCTGGTTCTGGTAACGTTTCGTTGCTGCATCCATGTACTGGCATCTGGGTGAGGTAGGTGCCTGCTGGGATGGCCGGCACCAGTCCCAAGATCACTTTATATAAGAATGTCAGGCGGAGTCTTTCTCATCTGTCTTTAAGGGGGGGGGGGGGTGTCAGATCTTTGTGTAAGTAAATACGCGTGTCATTGCGTTTACGTAAGCAAATGCGTGCGTCAATGTGCTTTATGTAAGGACATGCGAGTGTCAACACATTCTTATTCTGTTACGAACACATAATCATGAACATAGACATTGGTTGTATCGTATTGTTTTGAGAGATATTCGACAGGGGTGCATGAAGTCATCAAACATTCTGTAAATGGTATGCAGGCTACTATATTGCACTTTGGACTTTTTAAAAATAAACAACGAAAGTAGTAGTTAAAATTAAAAGCTATAACAACAAACAGATTAAATTCAATAATTAGAGTCGTATGCCTGAAATTAATGCTAACAGAGACAAGCGTTGAAATAGTATAACATTCAGAAAAATACACAATAAATTATGTGCACTTTACAATTATTAACACAATAATACAGATACTATGACATCCTAATACAGGGCATATGATACACCAATACAGAGAAAATGACACCCCAATACAGAGAAGCGGGGCGAAGCTTAAAAAAAAAAAATAAACTGGAAGGGGCCCACTAGTTAAAAGGACGTGCTATATTTTGTAAATAAAAGTTAAGAGCTGGACACTTCTTTAACACTGCCTTGACACCGCGGATTCAAATTCTGATTTTCTGATTAAACAAATTTGGCACTGGAAATGTTTTTGTTTTTAAAAAAAAAAATACATGTAGAATCTATTTAAAAAGTTTTCTTCCCTATCTTTTCAAATCAATCTTCTTATGGAATGTTTGCAAATGGTCTTATTTCATTTAGTGACTTGAAGGCAAAGTTACAGAACCAAACATTTTAATAACATATTTTAGCCTACTTCATTCTCCCATCCGAAAAGAGACGATTCTCAACCGCTGATGGAGCTCTTTTGTATTAGAAATCATGGCACAGTGGCGCTCTTATGGATAAGAATACTCTTTGTGTTTCGTCATCATCAACAACGATCGATAAACCGATGTCGGACCTGGAGAATTTATACTTAATCTGTGATAGAATGAGGCATGTTTAAAACCTAACAGTAAGTAAAATGAAAAGTTGGTAGCCTGAAATATTTAGTGGATATGATAATTTAAAAGCTTTGAGCAGTCCTAGCGTAATTTGAGTGAATAGAGCATACACTGAACTGAGGAATTCTTTGGCTTTTGCTGATTTAGTCTAATTTTAGAATTTAGGTATTTACTTTTTACAGTAAACTGTATACACTTTTGTACACTACAATTACAGGGTAAACTAGTACAGCTTACTAGAGTAAAATTATACAGGGTCTAGGCTAGTCAGTAGCCTAAAATACTTAGAGCTACTTTTTACTTATTTGTTCTTGAGTTTAAGTACCTGGCTACTTTTAATAATGATTATCAATTACATCAAGGTATAGTTGTAGTATCGCGTGTCATGGCAACTAAGTTGGTGATTTGGGGAAGCAAAAAAGTAGTTAAATAGTGTAAAAACAAATCTGCTAAAATACTACAATGGGTGGGGAAAGGAAGAGAATTTGCCAGACCTGTTTACTCTTACGATTTTGGCGAACAATGTATGATTTTGAGGTGTAAACATTATATATACAGCACGTTTTTGCTCTATAAAAAGAATGTATTGAACGATTATATGATGATATTGTACGATTTTAAGGGTTTGAGGGTAAACAGGTCTGATTTGCTGTTTCAGCTTCTGACCAAGAAAAACAAAAATTAGCAAAACAACATTAAAATTAGTTAAATAATTTTTTTAGAAAAACCTTTAATGAAACTCTTACCTAACCTGATAGCTACGTCAGTATCCCTAATCAAACTTATCCGCCCCCCCCCCCCCTCCCCCCAACCCGAAAAAAACACGCGAACGAATCTTTTTATACTAAGTGAAATGGAAATTGTAAAAGTNCCACTTGTTCATGTGCTTCAGCTCCACATTGTATTGTTGTGAAAAAATAATATATTTGAATAAATATTATAAAAAATATTTTGTAAATATTCAAATAATTTAAAAAAAAAAAAAAAAGCTGTTTCATCAAATACACTTGTACACACTTTATTGCAAAGTCCAACAAAAGTAAAATAAAAAAGATGACAGAAAAATCAAAATCAATTTTTAAAAATTCCAGCAAATTAGCTTTATTTTGAATATTATCATTAACCACCCAATGAAATATTAATTTTTTAAAAAAACATCAATCAGCATAGTCCATCAGCATATTAATTTTAGAAACAGAAAAGTTAACTCTGGTAACAATCCACAAATAAACAAATGGGAGTGAATCCTACATAGAAATTCAAAGTGGCAATCCAGTTGATCGGCCTGTCTTTCTTTTATCTAGTCTTTGACTACTTGGACTATATTTATATTTTAAAAAGTTGAAATTGTGTGGGTTTTTTTTAATACTTTTTATAGGCCTACGTAATTGTATGGCCTATACTAATACTATGCATGAATATGAAAGCATGAGTCATACTGAGTATGAGCCTATGTTATAGGCCTAATATTCATAATTTTAGTCTAAAAAAATTTAGTTTAAAAAAAAAAAGTACATTTTCAAGTCAATAAAAATTGTTTTTGTTAATTTGGCTGGACTTCTGAAAGGATGATGAAATGAATGGTTATTTTATGTAGCTTAAGTAAACTAAGTTATAAAAAGTATGTTATTAAAAACTATATCAGACAAGGTTCTTGACCAATAATCTGCATAATATTTAGAAGCAAAACTTTCTTCACTATTTCAGATTAGGGCCTAAGTTTAATTAGTCCTTAAATGGAATTACTTTAGTTTTTACAATAATGACAGCATTATTAAATTCTTCAAGCCACTTCCTGTGGAAAGAATCCTGAATCCTGAAAGTGATTTGCCTGTAGCTGACCCCCCCCCCCCCCCCCC